ATTAATACATGAAGGCACATCAACCAAGAGAGACTGATTAGTTGTTTCAGTCAAACCTTTGTTTAAGTTCTTGTTTTTTGATTGTTTAGTTTTTGCAGCCGAAGCTTTATTTTTATCTTTGGACACTGCACTGGTACGACTGGTATTGAGTTTATTTGCATAGTTAGCAACAACACTATGCAGATTTTTATACCCGAGCGCACTTGTGCACAAGGGTATAATAACTTTGTTCACATAACGGTTGTTTGTAACAGGCAAAACGAATCGAGATAGATATAGACAAATGTATACATAAATGATCAGAATGAAAAGAGAAATCGATTATGCGGTGACTGTCTGTTCGTCCGCCCGTCTATGCACACGATAACTCGAGTAAAAATTTAGATATCTTGACTAAACTTTGTACGTGCACTTCTTTCGGGCGTAGGACGGATGGTATTGAAAATAGGCAAAATTGGACAATAACCACGCCTACCTCCCATATTACGGTAATTTTCATAAATACGAAAACTGCGATATTTTAGTAACTACTAAAGATTATTCACTCAAAATTGATGTTTACAATAATTTTTAGACGAAAAATAGGGATACTATACATTTTTGGAAAATGGGCGCAGCCACGCCTACTTATGGTTACATGTGTATATCTTGGTAACCGCTGCACCAATTTCTTCCAAACTTAGCACAGGTGGTGGCCTTGGTACGGCATACCAAATGGCTGATAATTTTTAAAATCGGACAATAACCACGCCCACATCCCATATAACGGTAATTTAGAGAAATACGAAATCTTCGATATATCAGTAAATATTAAAGCTAATTTATTCAAAATTGATGCTTGCAACAATTCTTTACCAAGAAATACGTTTATGATAAAATTTTGGACAATGGGATGGCACCTTTTACTGTGGTACTGTTATCGTGCTTGCCACATAAAAGCAAAACGTTGAAAATTACTGAAATCGGACTAAAATTACGGCCGCTTTTCATATAACGGTAAATTTCAGAAATGCTTGAAACTTCAATATTTCGAAATTTAAGGACGCTAATTTACTCAAAATTGATACACACCGGCTTACCATGTAGCGGTAGCTTTCGGAAACACATATGTAAATTATATATTTAATACTTGCGCCGAGTATTTAATGTTCGGCTCCGCCCGAACTTAGACTTTCTTACTTGTTTAAAGATACTTTTGAACACGAACGAAAAGCATTATTATTATTAATTTAAAAAGCATATTATTTTTCGCTGTTGGTAAGATTTGGAGATTCAAGAATATTTGCAAAGGAGGAGGGGTTAGGAGGAGCGGGAATTTGGTTTTTATACTTTTGAATTGCTTCATGCATGCTACATTTTTCCAATGTTTTGATTTTAAGAATCTCTTTAGTTTGTAGAAATTTTAGGCAGGTATTTGATGAGGAGGGATGCTCACCAGAGCAGTTAGCGCACATTACTCTTGAACATTCGGAGGGGGAGCGGGGAGGGAAGTTGCAAGTAGAACACATTGGAAAGTGTTCAGAATCAATCACTACACTAAAAGTGCGATGGCAACTCCTTAACATTTTGCTTTTGTGTTATTCTAATCTACTGTCATTCCTATTGCTTATGTCTTGTTCTTTTTTCTCTCAGCACGAAAAGCACATGTGCTAAGTCGATACTTGCAATAAAATTACATTATTACAGATCAAACTGCTTACTTATTGTTTAAACAAGGATATGAAATCTAACATTAAATTTGGCATCCCTTGCGGGGAACAGAGCAATATATAATATACTCGAATCGGGATTCTCCGCCCTCAAGATTCTACATAACCTCACACCGAGGCAAGCAGTTATGGCGCTCAAGAAAGAAGAAGCCCTAGCTAAATATATACAAAACTTCTCCATTAACACCAATAAGGTATCCAAGACAAAGCAGACAAAAGGCTACTTCGTCGCGCGGAAGCACTTGCTGGAAGACTACTGGGCCAAATACAGTGCGAATTATGATGAAGTTCGCAATATCGAGCCTACTGAGGAAAGCGAGAATCAGTTGACAAATGTGCTAGCAGATGGTCATTTCGATGCAATAGAAACTGCTTATTGCGAAGCTGTCGGTGAACTTAACGACTCCATCGAGCAGTTGTCTATCGCTGGGCATGATACGACATCCGTTCGACTTCCGCACTCCTCAGCGTGCGCGATATCAATTTTGCCTAAAATTGAATTTCCTAAGTTCGATGGCAAGCTGCAGGGCTGGTTGCAATTTAAAGACATGTTCACGACGTTGGTAATTGGTGACAAGTCCTTGTCGAATGTGCAGCGCTTGCATTACCTAAAGATCAGTACGAATGGCGAAGCAGAAACTCTGCTGAAGAATATCTCTGTGATTGACAGCAACTTCTTCATTGCATGGGATACTTTATCCCAGCGCTACGATAGCAAAAGGCGATTAGTGAAGATGTACTTAAAAGAAGTCCTTAATATTCCTTACTCTCAAACCGAATCGGCTGCATCAATTCGTAAAATTTTGAACGGCGTTTCTGAAGCCATTCGGGCGCTTGAGCATTTGGAGTGTCCAACCTCTAAATGGGATGACTGGCTGCTGTTTTTAGTGACTGAAAAACTTGATCCCAGCACTGTCAGAGATTGGGAAATCTCACTCGAATCGCGAAATCATATTCCAACTTACAATGAGCTTGTGAAGTTTCTGGAGAGTCGTGTACAAGGCCTTGAGTCAATGGGCGCAACCTCAAAGCAAAAACAAAAGGATTTTGGACCTAAGGTAACTCAAGCACTACTCGTGCGCAGCCATCTTAGCGGCGTCACTCGATGCAGCAGTTGTTCAGGTAAACACATTCTTATGTTTTGCCCCGAATTCCGAAAACTTTCATCAGCACTTAAGCTAAACTTCGTTTAAAAGAATAAATTATGCCAGAATTGCCTAAAGGCTGGTCATTGGTTTAACGAATGTACATCTGCATATACCTGCCAAAAATGTAATCAAAAACACCATACTATGTTACATGACGGCATGCATCCGATCAGTATTGCAACGCACCACGCTCGTGCCTACGATGAAGACACAACAATAACAACATCACAGAACCATGTAGTGCTCGCTACAGCTCAGATAAATGTACGTTCAGAAAATGGCTACTGTCTACAACTCAGAGCACTTTTGGACAGCGTCTTTTATTACGGAATTTGCGGCGCAACAATTACACCTTAAACGTAGACGCTTGCAGGTCCCGGTAACTGGAATAGGATGTACAAATGCTGCAGTCTCTTCAGGCTTAGTGGAATTCGACGTTAGCTCTATCTGCTACCCAGGTTTCAATATTGGGTGCACAGCGTTAGTTTTACCACGTTTAAGTCAACAGTTACCAGGCGCTCGCTTGGATCCTACGATTTTTACTGACCTTTTGAATCTGAATCTTGCAGATCCTAGATTCTATGAGCCTGGTCCGATAGACGTAATTTTAGGAGCTGACATTTACGGACACTTGCTCTGCGGTGAACTGAAGCAGTCATTCACGAGCGCCTCCGTGGCACAGCATACACACTTAGGTTGGGTCATTCATGGACGTTGTACTGAATATATCGCCCCACTACGCACAAACTTTTGTGCGGCAACAGCAATCGAGCTCAACGAGTTAGTTAAAGCTCTTTGGGCTTTTAACGCGTATGAAGATGGCGAATCGTCATCTAAACTCACTCTTGATGAGATTTACTGCGAAGACTTCTTCGAACGTACAACTCGCCGGACCGGATCCGGTCGCTATATAGTACGCTACCCATTTAAACCATCAGCTGACTTGTCTGTGCTTGCAGATACTAAATATGATGCTGAATAGCTTTATCATTATCAAAACAAACGCCTGAACAATGATATTTATTTTAAAACACTCTATGATGAGTTTATGTCCGAATATCTCCAACTCGGTCACATGCAACCTGTTTGCGAGGACTTTGAGCCGCAGCCTGTCTGCTATATCCCCCACCACGGTGTTTATAAAGGCTCAAGCTCAACTACAAAACTACGAACCGTTTTTAACGCATCACGTAAAACGAAATGTGGTAGGTCACTAAACGACTGCTTGCTTGTTGGACCAAAGCTCCAAAACGATTTATCGGCAATTATATTGAAGTGGCGATGGCACAAGATCGCATTTATGGCCGACATCGAAAAATGTTTCCGACAAATCTTGGTTGACCATAAGGACGCAGATATGCAACGAATCTTTTGGAAAGATGAACATGGCCAGCCTTGCCTATATCGCTTACTTACAGTAACTTACGGACTCAACTGTTCGCCTTACTTAACCAATAAAGTTCTCCATACTTTGGCGAAAGATGAGGGTACAGAATTTCCAGAAGCAGCAGATGTTTTAAAGGAATGTTTTTACGTAGATGACTGTTTAAGCGGCGCTAGCTCTATTGATAAGGCAGTTGAATTACAACAGCAATTACAGACTTTACTACAGCGCGGCGGATTTACAATGCGAAAATGGAATTCCAATTCCGGAGATTTTCTTCAAAAAATTCAAGGAACAAATGCCAATAAAATATGTGCGCTTAATTCGGACCAAGACACTAAAGCACTGGGAATTTAGTGGTCATGCCAGGATGACTATATTGGGTACAAGGTAAAAGTGAGCGTAGTTTCCGTAGCAATCACTAAAAGACAGCAGCTTTCCGACGTTGCAAAAATTTATGATCCTGCTTGCTTGCTGGCTCCTATCATCATCACTGGCAAGCGTATGTGCCAAGATCTTTGGCGTACCGGATGTACGTGGGATGACCCGATTCCCGAACCTTACCAGAGTGAATGGATAAAGTTCCGTGATGAGATGCCACTGATAGAAAACGTAAAAATTCCGAGGTGGCTTTTCACAGCTGACGACATAGAAGAAGCTCAGCTGCACGTATTCTGTGACGCGTCATCAGCAGCTTTCGCAGCCGTCGCGTATCTACGGGTGACGCAGTTGAACGGTGAAATAAAAGTATCTATTATCATGGCGAAGACCAAGGTGGCACCGTTAAAGAAACGAACCATACCCTGTTTGGAACTAATTGGCGCAGTGCTTGCGAATACTTTAACCTGCAAAATTCTTGAAACTCTGCAGCTTAAATCTACTCACACATGGTACTGGTGTGATTCGAAGACAGTGATCAGCTGGATTCGGTCCAATCCTGGACAGCATAAGCAGTATGTTGCCAACCGGATAGCAAAGATTCAGGAGCTGACAAATGTAGACGCGTGGCGGTACGTGCCCACTAAATGCAATCCGGCTGATGTCGCGTCTCGTGGCATGTACCCTTCGCAACTTGAAGACCTTAGCATACACATGGCTACAAAAGGACGAAAGCTATTGGCCAGCAAGCATCGTGATTGAACCACCCCAGGCGGCTGGGAACGACGATCTTAGCATTGTGTCACTAATATCGGTTCCTAAGCCTGATGACTGGATTCTTCAAAAATACTCGTGTATCCAAAAGCTACTAGCCGTCACTGCTTGGTGCCTGCGTTTTGTATGTGCTGCATTGAGAAGACCCCATGAGAACACTGACTTTTGCACTGCTGCAGAGAGAGCTAAGGCGTTGAAATATTGGATAAGGTACGTTGAAAACATACATTTTTCTAATGAAATCTCCAGTCTCCGGCAGAAAAGAGGACTCAATGCAAAGAGCAAACTCCTAAAGCTCAACCCAGTGCTGGATGATGATGGACTTTTGCGCTTAAATGGACGGCTGAAGAACGCCAGTTTACCTTTCTATGAACGCTTCCCTATCATCTTGCCAAAATACAGTCAACTTAGCAAGCTTCTTATCGCGCAGGCGCATGAAGCCACGCTCCATGGCGGCACACAGGCAACTCTGCACGCTCTACGCAGACGATACTGGCTAATCGATGCTCGGTCAGCCATAAAAAGCTTTATCCATCGGTGCATTAAATGTTTTCGACAGAGAGCTGTAGGTTCCAACCAGATAATGGGGAATCTACCTACACACCGGTGCAATGCTGCTGCCCCTTTCAAGCACTGCGGGCTGGACTACGGAGGTCCGTTTAAAGTTCGAGCTACCAAAGGCCGCGGTAGCCGCAGCTTCAAAAGTTATGTGGCACTATTCATATGCTTGAGCACTCGTGCTATACATTTGGAATTGGTCAGTGATATGACAACCGACGCGTTCTTAGCAGCACATCGACGTTTTTTCTCCCAACGCGGCTATAGCTCCGATATTTATAGTGACTGTGCAACAACTTTTGTCGGTGCTAACACAGTTCTGAGGGAAGACTTTGTCGCCTTTCGCGCTCAAATAGAGACTGGTGCTCGTTCCGTGGCACTACACAACGTATCATGGCATTTTATACCTCCAGGATCACCAAATTTTGGGGGTATTTGGGAAGCCGGCATAAAGAGCATGAAACACCATCTACGTCGAGTCATAGGTGAATCAATGCTGACCTTTGAGGAATTTTACACCGTCTTGAAGCAAATTGAGGCCGTTTTGAATTACTCGTCGTCGCTTATGTGCCTACTGTTTACAACAACACGTATTAGTACACAGCAATGAACAGCTTCACCGATACTGTTACTTCTCAACATAAATTTAATTGCTTTCCAATCGTCACTTGAAGAAGTTATCGTCGCGCGCGTCTTCACTTCACATCCCCATATATTTAAAATATCTAATCGCCTAGTAATTAAGATTCAATTACATTATTGTAAACATTTAATTCGAGAATAAAAACTAGTTTAAGATACCCAAAAACGCTTGTGGTTTCTCACCATATTTACTGGTCCTCACGAGCTGGATCTTTTGGCTCCAAAACTACAGTCAACCTCGCGGTTCTTGAACAATGATTCAATTGTGTCGCGTATAAGCGCACTTCTCGTTGAGCCGAGTCAAATTGCTAGTTTATCGCAAGCACATGCAGAAGCGAAGCTGGCACTTGTCGAACGCCATTACTTAATGTCCGAAGAGTTGCAGTCACAGTTGGAGCACCTGGATGAGACGCAGCTCCAGGAGGATCATCGTGTTCATATGGATGCGAGCTATTGCGCGGTTAAAGCCCTATACACAGAGGGCCTGTCATCTCTACGCACCAGTACACCAGACCCACCGTTCAGCAGCACACATGTGGCACATCACACCGGTGCCTCGACTGAAAATTAACTTGCCAAAACTGCAGTTGCCGACGTTTGGAGGTTGTCATCGTGAGTGGCAAGGACTTTCACAACATGTTTGTTGTACTACACCGTTTCTAATAGTGCTTCAGAAAGCGTCAATTATATTTCAGAAATCATCAATTGTACTTAAGATTAGTCAAACGTACTTAGGAAACTGTTAATTAGACTTCAGATTAGTCAATTGTATTTCAGAAACCATAAAATATACTTCAGATTAGTCAATTGCACTTCAGAAATCGAAAAATTTACTTCATATTAATGAATTGTACTTCAGAAGCCGTAAAATGTACTTGAAAGTAGTCAAATCTACTTCAGAATGCGCTAAAGGGATTTCAGATTAGTCAATTGTACATCAGAAACCATAACATGTACTTCAGATTTGTAAATTGTACTTCAGAAACCGAAAAATGTTATTCAGATTAGTCAATTGTGTTTCAGAAACCAAAAACTGTACTTCCGAAACCGAAAAATGTACTTCAGATTAGTCAATTGTATTTCAGAAACCATAAAATGTACTTCAGATTCGTAACTTGTACTTCAGAAACCGAAAATGTACTTCAGAAACCGAAAAACGTACTTCACACTAATCAATTGAACTTCAGACACCATAAAATGTACTTCAGAAAGTGTGATATGTACTTCAGAAACCACTTTTGTAAATATACTTCAGGTGTTAAAGCAGCGCTCTATAATCCATTTAACTTTACAGTTCACTTCTTCCAATGTAGGGACTTTGCCCCAAATCCTTCGCTTTTGAGAATATTGATATAACCAGTAATTTTTTTTTCTGAGAGTGATATAGCCCTCGAGCAAACTTTATGAAAAAGATGTTTGCACGACAAAAGGAGAACTATGTAAATACATATGTATGTATATAAGACATCCTTGAAAAGTTTTTGGAGATAGGGCATTTTCGAACTGCCTGCCGCTTCATGCTGATCTAAAAAAACGGAATTATCCTGGACTTCCTTTTCACAAAATATATACACTTTATTAATTAAAACTACATAATAACTGCTTCAATGTATGTATATAGTGCAAGCACAATGCCATTTATTAACATGTATGTAGTATGTAGATTGGACTGTCCCAAAAAACCAAAGTTGTTTTTTTTTCACGCATACCCCCTCATTTTATTCGTTTTGTCTTAAATACTCTCCAAATAAAATTTTATGCAATTCGGACCACGGCAACCCGTGCCGACTTGCAGTCAAAGTTACCAGGATAATCTTTGTGCAGTTCGCGAGTTTTGTTAACTTACTTATTTTATTTCTTTATAAGGCAAATCATTTTTTTTTCCATATATTCTTGGGACAGTTTAATGTACATACATACTTTGCATAAAATTACTTGTAATATATACATATGAATACATTTATATTTTTTTATTGCTTATATCGAAAGTTTTTCTTTTTACTTTCATCCAATTGTGATTTGTTGCGCTTAAAAGAATTAATTTCTTAAAAAAAAACTATAAAAAAAAATTATTAAAATGGAGATCCAGGATAAGTGTGTTATTTGTCTTTTAAATCTGCGGATGCATGTAATTGGATACAAACTGTCCTTCATAGGTGGGTTGAGATGGGCAACAACCTTGCGGATTTAGTTGTGGTGTGCGATAATGCTCCGTGCCACTCCCGTTTGGAACATGCCATCAATAATTATAACACCACAGAAAAAGCAACACTCCTACGCCTGGGACCTTGTTCGCCAATGCTGAACCCTATAGAAATAATTTGGTCTAAAATAAAAACATACGTGAAGGTTAATATTGGAGCTCCAGTTACGTTTGGTCCTGGCGTAGTCGTGCAAAGACTTTCCTAATTGGAGCTTCTTATTGACGAGGCAAAAACAACGGTTGTCGGCGGCGATTGTGGTAGAGCCATTCAGCATTCTACCACCTTTCACCCGGATGCACTATCCTTAGTTGATATGCCAGTTGGCATGTAATTTCAACCTATGTATGTAAACAGTTGTCACCAATTAACACCAGTAGTTGGTTATCGATCACCCCTAGTTTAAGTCGTCAAGTTCCAGTTCTCAGTCGTCCCTATCCTCGGATATCGTGCCTTTTTGGGCTCTTCAGCGATCTCAGTAGTCAGTTGTTCCACAGTAGTCGTTGCAGTCGTGCGGTCGCAGCATTCCTTCGAATAATCAATCAGCCGGTCGTGTTAACATACCTGGATTGTCTCTGAACCATCAATATTCAATTTAATATTTAAATCATCTCTACATTGCTATTCAATTTCACTTATTATCATTAACTCAAACCTTAACTGAATAAAATATTAACTTCCATCCTACATTTGGGGGCTCAACCGTAGCCAAAACCGGTCAAGTTACGTTAAGATAAAAGTCGACATAAGAAGTAGTATATAAATTTCGCAACTCGAAATAAAAGCTGCTTTTATACTTCACTTTCAATCAAAGGGAAGGGGAAGAAACCAAAAATTTGGTGTAGTGACATTTTATATTTCCCTTTCGCAACCTTGAAGTTTCTCGAAGGTCTCTGTAGAAAATTCGGCCACCATAAACTGTAGCACTTGTGTAACTTAAAATGCAAAATACGCACCCCTACTTCACGCGCTCAATAGCGGGACAAGTCGACGGTGCAGGTGCAATAGAAAATCCGAATTTAAAAGTTTGCGGCGAAGAGAGCGCAGATAAAACGGCCGTTGAATGTGGCGCTAAAGAAGTGCTACCATCAGAAACGAATACTGTCAGCAATGAGAACAAAAGCGGGGAAATGTGTGGAAACGATTCAGCGGGCGTAGGTGCTGGAATGAGCGGCTGGAAGTCAGCTAGCGACGGCGGTGTTCGATTTTTTGACACACCGAATGTCATTGAAACCAAAGACGACAGCATAAATGATTTAATATAACTGCTCACTCTAAAGATGCTAAGGGAAGAGGACAGCAATAAAAAAGTCACAATATCAGCAGATAGTTTCGCAAAAATAATTCCCTCCTATGACGGCAAGAGTATTCCAGTTATACAGTGGCTTCAAAATTTCGAAAAAAACGCGGAAGCATACGGACTCGATGAAAAGCAAAAATATGTCCAAGCACGCGGAAAAATGGTTAAAACGGCTCAGTTGTTCCTGGAGTCCGTTTGTGTAAGTGATTATAAGAGTTTACGCGAAAACTTAATTGCAGAATTCCACAAGGAATATACGAGTGCTGAATTGCATAAACAACTGCGTGAAACAAGAAAACATAGTGACGAAAGTTTCCACGACTACGTTTTACGTGTTAAAAAACTAGCATCGCTCGGGGCGGTCGACGATGCATCGGTAATACGCTATATTGTTGAAGGGTTGCGTGTCAAAGCTGAGATAAAATTTGTGTTATACAATTGCAAAAGCATTAAAGAGCTACTTGAATAATATGAAATATTTGATTACGCATTTAAAAGTGAACAACCAACGGAGAAGAATTAAACATCGAAAAGGGAGCATTGTTTCAATTGTGGCTCAACGGAGCATAAAAGACCAGCCTGTAAAGAACCTACGAAGTGCTTTAATTGCAACAAAAGTGGACATGTGGCAAAATTATGCCCACTTAAGAGCGAAAATCCACACGGTGGTAATGTAATATCTGTTTGCAGCCGCCTTAAAGACATTGTAATAAATAAATACAAAGTGAAGTGCTTAGTCGACACCGGGTCTGATGTATCGCTTATATGTAGAAGTTTATACGAAAAACTATTTCCCAATATTTCTTTGAAAAACTGTGACCGCGTACTATATGGACTAGGCAATGTGGCAAACGAAGTCGAAGGCGTTTGCTGTTGTGATGTATGTGTTGATGAAGCGCGTTGTACGCAAACTTTTATAGTCGTAGCAGACAAACAAATTAAATTCGAAGTCTTGCTTGGCTTTGACTTTATTAGCAAATTCAAGGTCGTGTTTGACAAAGGCAATTATAGATTTAACGATACAGATGCATCAGACGTAAACAACGAACTGAAGGTCTATAACATCAGTGAAAACAGTGAACTCGTTGTGCCAACGCATTTTAAGGAAGTGATATCCGAAACAATAATACTCTACAAACCACTGAAAGTGCCAGTGGAATGCCCAATCGTAATGGACATTATTACTGACAATATTAAACCGTTTCATCAATCGCCAAGTCGTCTCCCGCCGAGGAACAAGAGGCGGTCAAAACGCAAGTTGAGCAGTGGCTCAACCAGGGAATAATTACACAATCTACATCAGATTTTGTGAGTAGAGTAGTGGTAGTGAAAAAAAAGGACGGTTCCTACCGTGTTTGTATCGATTTTAGAAAACTAAACTCGATGGTGCTTAAAGACTGCTTTCCATTGCCCATAATAGACGATGTACTGGAAAAACTTCAAAGAGCTAGATACTTCTGTGTGATGGACTTAGAAAATGGGTTCTTTCACGTGCCTATCAAAAAAAATGTTAGAAAATACACCGCGTTTATAACCAAAGAAGGCGTTTATGAATTTAATTACGCGCCCTTCGGCTTTTGCAATTCACCCGCAGTCTTCATACGATATGTAAATCATATTTTTAAAAAACTTGTGAATGAGGCCGTAATGGAACTTTATATGGATGACATAGTAGTATACGGTGTTACGGCAGACGAATTATAAAGAAACTCAAAAAAGTGATTGTTAGAGCATCCGACTACGGCCTCAAAATAAAATGGCAAAAGTGCATGTTTATGCAAATAAAAATTAACTTTCTGGGACACGTAATTGAAAACGGCACGGTGCGTCCGAGTAGTGAAAAGACTAAAGCGGTACAACAATTTTCGATACCCAAAAATGTAAAAGACATACAGTCATTTCTGGGTTTAACCGGGTTTTTTTCGGAAATTTGTTGAGTGGTACTCTCTGATAGCACGTCCACTCACCGAAATGCTAAGAAAAGATAGCGCGTTTAAAATCGGTAACAAGGAACTAACAGCAATAAACGAACTGAAGAAAAAACTTGCAAAAGAACCAGTGTTAAGATTGTACGACAGAAACTCGAAAACGGAACTACATACCGATGCATTCAAAGAAGGTTTTGGTGCTGCATTGATGCAATTTTTCGAAAATGAGTTGCAACCTGTTTACTTTTGGAGTAAAAAAGCCACACTTTCAGAATCTAAGCAGCATAGCTACGTGTTAGAAGTTAAGGCGGCTTATCTCACGATGAAAAAGTTTCGGCATTATTTACTTGGGGTGAATTTCGCACTCATCACCGATTGCGCCGCTTTTAAAAATACAGTGTCGAAAAGAGACGTACCGAGAGAAGTCGCACAATGGATCATGCATTTTCAGAATTTCAATTTCAAAGTCGAGCATCGAACGGCTCAACGAAAGAAACATGTAGACAGCCTTAGCCGCCACCCAGCAGCAGAGGTATTCATCATAACGACGGACGTAACGACACGCATTAAAAAGGCGCAGCAGCAAGACGAGCATTTGAGAGCAGTTCGTGAAATACTCAAAACTCAGCCGTACGAAAGTTACAAAATTAAAGGAGACTTGCTGTATAAAACGTTACACGGCAACGATTTACTTGTTGTTCCCAAGACATTGGAAGCAGACATAATCCGCGAAGCACATAATATGGGCCATTTCGCAGAGCAAAAAACTGTGCATGCAATACAGCAAAATTATTTTATACCACATTTGTAAAATAAAGTTAGCCGTTGTATAGCCAACTGTGTAAAATGTATAATACATAACAAAAAACTTGGCAAAAAAGAGGGACATTTGCATTGTATTAATAAAGGAGATCAACCACGTGAAACACTCCATGTTGATCATTTGGGTCCTTTGGACGCCTCTGCAAAACAATATAAACATTTCTTGGTTCTGGTGGACGCTTTCTGCAAATTCACGTGGCTTTTTCCAACAAAAACAACAAATGCCGATGAAGTTATTCGTAGAATGCGTGAGTGGTCAAACGTCTTCGGTAATCCAATTCGGATAATCAGCGACAGTGTTGCCAGAACTTTTTGGGCCGACCGGCTAGATTGGCAAAAAAAAGCGGCTAAAAACGGCTAAAATGTTTTAGTGAAATTTCACATAGACTCTGGCAAAAAACGGCTAAAATGTTTTAGTGAAAATTCACACGCTTTATTTAAATAAATCGCAAGAAACGAAAGACTAGTTAACACCATTAATTTTTATCGAGTGTATATTCCTCATCATCAAATGTATCACTATTGTATATATCACCTGAATTCATTAATTTTAAGAGATCGTCATCTACAGTAAAATTATGGCAGCATTTTTCTTCACGTTTTAAACCGTATCTTATATATAAAATAGCGTTTAACGTTTTAACGCACATTGGATTTCTTTGCTTAGTTTTTATTATATTCATTGAACTATATATTCGCTCTACTTCTGCATTACTTATAGGCAAAACAAGAAAACTAAAAACTAGGTTGCAAAGGTCAGCAAAAGGGTTTTCTTCTATGGCATTTCGAAATTGATAAACTTCGGCCCAAAATTTTACAGTTGAGTCTAAATTACTCCAGGTATGTAACGTTAACCGTTGCCATTGCATCTCTATGGATGTTATTTCGTCGGCATTATATTTGTGGCTTTGTTGCTGTTGTTGTTGAACAAATACTTTTGGTTTAATTACTCTTAATGCATTTCCAACCGAAAAAAGTAAATTTTTTTTTAGTGTGGCAATATTTGTAGGGAGGCGTTGGCGTAATTCCTTTATTAAAGTGATAATAAAATAGCGACCATTTTCTCGAATTATTTTCTCCGCTTCGTGGTCAAAAGCGTTTGTGCTTACTTTTGTTTTTAAATACTCTTCAAAACTGTGATAAAACTGAGGAAATGGAGCAAGGTATGGTTCCAACGGGGAGCATATAGGATCAAATGTGTCCGCGCTAATTACCACTAGGGAGCATAGATGCGAAAGTAAAACATTGAGTTCATTAAAAATCTTCATTGGGTCTGCATTATTGCTTTCAAACAACTTGTTTACTTTTTGCACCTGAAAATTAGGCAAATAGTAAAATCGGCTAAAAACGGCTAACTTTTTTTTAAAAACCGGCTAACAAATCGGCTGCCGGCTAGATCGAATTTTCTCCGGCTAGTTGCTATCAAAACCGGCTAAATCTAGCCGGAAAACGGCTAAAATGGCAACGCTGATCAGCGATAAAGGGCCGGCGTTCACATCCAACAGTTCAGCGATTATTGCACGGATAATGGCATTATTCACGTCACCAGTACTACAGGAGTTGCGCGCGGAAACGGCCAAGTTGAACGTGTCAACCGGTCAATTTTGTCAGTGTTGTCAAAATTGTCAACAGACGACCCATCGAAATGGTACAAAAACGTAGGGCTAGTAAAAAAGGCCACTAATTGTCATGTGCACACAACTACAAAACGTTCGCCATTCGAAATCATGTTTGGATTTAAAATGAAAGCGGAGATTAACAGCGCACTGCTTGACATACTAAACAGCGAACTCATCAATGCATTTGACGAAGAACGACAAAACTTACGTCGTGATGTAAAAGAGCAAATATTCAAAGCGCAGGAACAACATAAGAGTAACTACGACAAACGACGGAAGGCCGCGCCTATTTACAAGATCAACGACATTGTAGCAATCAAACGTACGCAGTTTGTCGCTGGAAAGAAGCTGGCGAGTGAATATCTTGGCCCCTACGTTATCACCAAGGTCAAACGAAACGACCGGTACGAAGTCAAAAAATCAGAAAACTGTGAAGGACCGAAGCAAACGTCAACATCCGCTGACAATATAAAGCTATGGCGTTTTGTTTGTAATTCTGAAGAGTTGTCATCTGGGTCAGATGACGAGGAGCAGAATGGCCGAATGTAAACAGTTGTCACCAATTAACACCAGTAGTTGGTTATCGATCACCCCTAGTTTAAGTCGTCAAGTTCGTCGACCATTGATGCTGTCATTATGCAAACAATCACGCCATGCCAACCACCACCGACATTGGATATCAGCACGTGGAATATTCCGAAGAATATTAACCTAGCTGACGAAGCATTTTATAAACCAGGCCTCGTGGATCTTTTGCTTGGAGCCAGTATATTTTTCGACCTACTAATGGTAGGCCAGATAAAGTTACATGAAAAGCTACCACGGTTGCAGAAAACAAAGCTTGGCTGGGTCGTGGCTGGAGCTGTCACTTGCCAGCCTCTGCTATCTTCAGCTGCCTTGATTTCACCCTACACTACTTCGATTGGAACAGACTGTCTATTATCAACCACATGGCCAACGCTATCTTCGTTCGTGTCCTTGCAACAACAACAGTCATCGCTTTCGTTAGAGCCATCTCTTGACGATATCTTAGAAAAATTTTGGAACATAGAACATCAACCGAAGCAAGAGAAAGGCCGCAGGAGTGCGAAACATATTTCGAAGAAACAACAAAAAGATTCTCAACCACAAACAAATTTATCGTACGATTACCATTTAGAGAGCCCCTGAAATCCCCAGGCAGCTCGTACGACATAGCGCTGAGTCGTTTATTGTCCATCGAAACCAAGCTACGCCGCAACAACAATTTGAAAGCAGATTACGATGCTTTCATGAAGGCGTACATTGAGCTCCAGCATATGGTACTCATATCAGTTCCAAGCGGAACAGAAAATTATATACCACACCATCCCATGTTAAAGTTAGACAGCAGCACGACTATACTTCGTGTCGTGTTTGATGCTTCGTGTCGCACCTCAACTGGCAAATCGCTCAACGATATCCTTCGGGTTGGGCCAACTATACAAGATGACGTTTTCTCGATACTCGTCAGATTTCGCACTCATCTTTTCGTTTTGATAGCTGACATCGCCAAAATGTACAGACAAATACTAGTGGACAGAGAAGACGCAAAACTCCAGTGCATTTTGTGGCGTGATGAAATAAGTGACCGCATAAAGAGTTATCAGCCCAAACGGTAACGTACGGTACCGCCAGTGCACCATACCTGGCCACCAAATGTCTGCAGCAGATAGAAAAGAACCACGCTTCATCACACCCCATTGGTGCTGAAGTGATTCGCATAGACTTTTATGTCGACAATTTGATGACCGGCGCTTCAACCATTCAGTGTGTGAGAGAAATCAAACGTCTAGTTACAGAAGTGCTGACCAGTGGCGGATTTTCATTGCAAAAGTGCGCGTCAAATGATCCTGGAGTCATAGTAGATATACCTGAAGCTGAACGCGAAGACATCATTCAACTAGACGGCATCGACTACGTAAAGGCACTTGGCTTGAGATGGTCACCTTCGACAGACTGTTTCTTGTTCAGTTACACGCAACCACCGGAAGCATCGAAGGTCAGCAAGAGAAGCATTCTGTCACACATCCCGCGTTTCTTTGATCCATTGGGTCTGCTCAATCCACTCATCGTTACCTGCAAGGTTCTGATGCAACACTTATGGAAACTTCGACTGAGTTGGGATGAAAGTGTGCCAGCCATCATTCACACTGAGTGGAGTTCTTTTTGTGCACAGCTCCCTCTGATTGAAAGTTTCCGAGTGGCCAGGTTAGTAATGTTTGAGTCCGCTTCTAATATTCATGCATTTGCAGATGCCAGTACTAAGGCATATGGAGCATGCGTCTACGTGGTATCGCACTATTCTGGGTCCTTGCGATCAGCACTTTTATGCGCAAAATCTCGTGTTGCCCCAACTAAAGAGATCAGCCTACCACGACTAGAGCTGTGCGCTGCACTGCTACTGGCTGAACTGCTCGATTCAGTTCGCAGCTTGCTCAAGCCAAACCCAGCGAACGTTCACTGCTGGACAGACTCCATGATCACCCTAGCATGGATCCAGGGAGAGTCGTCAAGATGGACAACCTTTGTCAGCAATAAGTGGCTAGGATTCAGTCGCTGACATCTCAATACACATGGAACCATGTTCCTGGAGAAGTTAATCCAGCCGACACACTATCTCGCGGAGTTAAGCCAAACCAACTTCTCGACTATAATTTGTGGTTCACTGGCCCAAATTTCATCGTCCTCGATAGTCAGCACTGGCCCCAAGTCACCCCGAGCATAGACGAGTTGTCAGAACAACGACGTCAGCGAATCACTTTGGTAGCGAAAACAACAACTGACATAATCGCCGAACACAAATTCATCGGCAATTATAAAAAGCTTATACGCAAGTTCTGCTACGTACTCCGCTTCCTTGACGCGATCCGTGGACACGATAAACGCCATGGTGCAATCACCGCTTCAGAAATGGCCAATGCAACATACACAGTGTGTCGCACACTTCAACATCGCGTATTCCACACTGAAATTCACCAGCTTCAAAACAACTGCTCATTAGACCGAAATTCACCGTTGGCTTCATTGTCACCATTTCTTTATGAAGGAGTTATCAGAGTCGGATGTCGCCTCAACAACTCGTCGCTCACTTTCGATGAAAATCATCTCATAGTTTTACCTAAGTTGCATCCTTTCGTATCAACACTCATCATGCACCTTCACCGACAGCATTTGCATGCCGGTTGCCAAACAATGGTAGGCATTCTACGCGAAAGGTTCTGGATTGTGAACGCACGAAGCACAATCAGACAGGTAATCCCCAAATGCCTAATATGCTATCGTTTTCGTCCAATCGTTGCAGAACAGTTGATGGGTGCGCTGCCAAGAGACAGAGTCATCGCATCTCCTCCCTTTGAAAAAACTGGAGTAGACTACTGTAGATCACTACACATCACTCAAAAAATTCGTGGCCGATCACCCATCAAAGTCTACATAGCAGTTTTCATTTGTTTAAGTTCGAAGGCCATGCATCTCGAGTTGGCAGCTGATCTTACATCCGCTGCATTTATCGCCGCCTTAAAACGATTCATCGCTCGGCATGGCAAATGTCATGTTATCTATTCGGATAACGCCACAAATTTCGTGGGCGCTAACCGTGAGCTGCGCAGCCTCTTAAGCGAATTCACTCCGCAGCAGCATGTTGACTGCGTAAAAAAGGCTTGCGGTGAGGAAGGCATCGACTGGAAATTCATTCCCCCAGATCTCCACACTTCGGTGGCCTATGGGAGAGCGCCGTTAAGCAAGCGAAGTACTACCTCCGCCGCGCCATCGGACAGCACGAAGCGATGATAAACAGTCGACCACTAACACCTTTATCGGTATCACCCTATATCCTCATATCCTTATAGGCCGCTCACTCACCACCATACCAACACTGCACCTTCAGTGGATTAATAAACAACTGATCGCCAAAAAAGAGCAGTAGGCAGCAATGTATTATAGCGGTCAACTACCGTTGTTCTACATTCCAAATAGGTGGCGTTATATTGTGCTCACGCCACTTCTCCTTCTATGCTGCAGCAGTAACTATTTATTCAACACCACACCATACTCTTTTTGCTCTTCGCCAACCACCATCACTCGTCGTCGCTTATGTGCCTACTGTTTACAACAACAACACGTATCAGTACACAGCAATGAACAGTTTCACCGATGCTGTTACTCCTCAACATAAATTTAATTGCTTTCCAATCGTCACTTGAAGAAGTCATCGTCGCGAGCGTCTTCACTTCACAACTCCATATATTTAAAATATCTAAACGCCTAGTAATTAAGATTCAATTACGTTATTGTAAAAATTGAATTCAAGAATAAAAACTAGTTTAAGAAACCCAAAAACCCTTGTGGTTTCTCACCAAGCTCAATAATCCATCAAAATTTCACGTTGAAGTTGAGCTTCAAAGCTCAACATCTCAGAAAATATCGACTTATGCGTTTTTGTGTTCTAGAACTTTTTTGTAAGAAATTAAATGTCCTCCATGCTTGTCATTTATATTTCTCCTCTAGCGCTTGTTATTTCCGAGATAGGGCACTAAAACGAGGATTTTATGAAAATTGGGTTAAGTGATCCGTACCACCTCGCTGATGAGAGTTAGGGTTATGTTCTGATTATGCATGCTTCGCATAACTTCGCACAACTTTGCATAAACTTCAAACTGTAATTTCGTATCTACTTTGTATGTATTTTGTATATATTCCCTTACCCAGAAATTAGCAGAACTTTTAAAAAGTTTGCGATCTGTTGAGTTTATATTTTGCTTCACATTTTCTTCAGTTACATTTTTATTGTACTGGTACAAATAGTTGTGCGAAGTTACGCGAAGTATGTATAATCAGGCCTAAAAGTGGCACTGGACACTTTTGTAAAACATTCAATTCTGAAAAAATCCCATCGACTATTATTATACCATAAAATGCTTTTGAGCTGTAGAACTTAGAAGAAAAAAATCAAAGTTTGCCTGTATTTTAAAAGTGAAATCTTTGCACGCCATAGTCGAGCACTTAATATTAATATTAATGGCTAAAATTTTCAGGAAATTTTTTTTTAGGTATTTCGAGATGGGACTGAATGAAATAATTGTCGCCCAAAAAACACCCTAATACATGTGTATTAAAAGAAGGTTGTTTTCAACAATTAATTAGGAAATATAATAAAAAAACTTACGTATTTCTCGATTTCATTGCTAACTTCTTTGTTTGTATTGAAAATCCTCTCATTATTCTTTTATATTTAGTATGTTCAATTTTTATTATATCAATTGATCACAAAAATTATTAACACTCACTTTTTTTTATTTTGCAATTTTGCAAACACGTGCTTACACTTTTTATTTACAATCCCTTTTAGAGCTGCAAAACTATGGATAGTTGGACCATTCGATTTTTTCGATAGTTTTGTGCCTCATCACTCGATAGTATCGACACTATCGGTAAGAAATGCATAATCTTAAGAGAAAAATTGTGAACTCCTTACTACGGCACTAATTATATTGAACGTGGTAATATTAGTAGAAAAAATATGAAGGCTAGCTTTAAACGCCATTTTAGTGTGATTTTTTAATCTTAACAAAGTTAATTATTTTAAACAACAAAATCAATGCATTTCAATTCATTCCATTTCATTAGAAAGTCAGTTGTCTTCGATTTTGTCAGCCAAAAATGTAAAATAGTATAAATGCATCGGCAAAAACTTAAATAGAGATGGGACATTTTAACAAGTTTCAGCTAATCTTGTTTTGTGTATTTAACTTTTTGATTTTTTTATGAAAGTATATGTAGTTCGTTATCTAATCAAAACGATGTAAGTCAATATTTCAAACGTTTTAAAAAAATTTGGAAAGTTCGAACAATTTGCATCAAAAGAGTTGTTTACTATATTTATTAGAAACAAATTGAGTACACACTTTTGTAGTCCGTTAAATTTTAGTATAAAGTGGAACTTTGAAGTACCCAGGGCTTACCGTTAATTTTTGCACATTTTTTTGTTGAAAGTGTTGCTTATTTGCTACATATAAAAAACTGCCTAACATAGTTTGCATATACCTACATTAGGGTGGTCCACAAATGCAGGTGAAAAATTAAAGTCGAAATTTGTATGCCCTTACCCCCTAAGATTGTTCTTTACCGAAAAAAATATACCCATACTTTTTTATTTTGAAATCAAAAAATATTTAGAGGTCGCTCAAAGCGCCCAAAGTTTTCCATGTATTTTATATGGGGGAAAAAACAACTTTTCGTAGAAATGGTATAGAATTCCTAAAAATCAATATTTTTCTACCGGAAAACTCTGTTTATCTGCAGTATTAATACCCAATTGTTTATTTAACAATTTTTTCATCGCAACTATAATTTATTGGTACGCGAAACACACACAAAAACCCCGAAAAATGCAATTGGGGACAAATAAAAAATCGTTAGTATTAAAAAA